TATCCAGAGGTATTGACTTGTTCTGATATAAGATAGTGAATCTTATTTAGGAAAGTTAAGATTCGTCAAACGTAAAATCTGGTAGAATTATTCTTATTGGATGGACAGAGGAAGGGTCAGATGATCTGGTATGAACATTACTTTAATTGTAAAATTGCAATATAATAGTATATTTTGCCTATGAGGATTGTAGCCAGCAATGGAAGAGTTAATTCAGTGTAATTTAACTGTCAGCCAAAGTTTTTTTTATTGCTTTTTGCTGCACTGCTGTATTCTGTGAAGTTTTGTCTTTCTGTGAAGAGATTTCTAAACAGTGTCCTATCATAAATATCATTAAATTGTTGACAACTGGTTGCTTTTAGCTCTCTGTATCATGTTTAAACTTTTAAAGCCAGATTGTATAATTATACTAATTATTCAATGATTGTCACTTATGTTACGTACAGGGCCGGCCTTAGGGGTGTGTGAGCTGTGTGGCCACACAGGGCGCCATGAACCAGGGGGCGCCATGTGGCCGACACAGCTCACACATTGCCAGGTGACAGGGGAGCAAAAAAAAAATCGAGGTGGCGGGGTGGGGCTTACCGAGCAGGAGAGGTGGGGCTTATCACAAGGCAGAGGCGGGGCTTATATCTACCCTACCTACCCGAAGTCCCTGGTAACTGCTGCACAGGAAGAGGGAAGCAGGAAGGAGTCCCTGCTTCCCCAACAACTAACTGCTTCCACTCTCCCTTCTGCCATAATGGAAAGAGGTAAGTCTCTGTGTGTGTGTGTGTGTCTGCCTGCCTGTGTGTGACTGTTTGCCTGTTTGTGTGACCATCTGTCTTTGTGTCTGCCTGCCTGCCTGCCTGTGTGTGTGTGTGTGTGTGTGTGTGACTGTGTGTGTGTGTGTGTGTGACTGTCTGTGTGTGTGTGTGACTGTGTGTGTGACTGTCTGCCTATGTGTGACTGTCTGACTGCCTGCTTGTGTGTGACTGCCTGTGTGTGACTGTTTGCCTGTGTGTGTGTGTGTGTGTGTCTGTGTGTGTGTGTCTGTGTGTGTGTGACTGCCTGTGTGTGTGTGTGTGACTGTCTACCTGTGTGTGACTGTCTGTGTGTGTGACTGTCTGACTGCCTACTTGTGTGTGACTGCCTGCCTGTGTGTATCTGCCTGCCTGTGTGTGACTGTTTGCCTGTGTGTGTGTGACTGTCTGCCTCTGTGTGTGTGTGTGTGTGACTGTCTGCCTGCCTGTGTGACTGTCTGTCTGTGTGACTGCCTGCCTGTGTGTGTGTGTGTGTGACTGTCTGTCTGCCTGTGTGTGACGGTTTGCCTGTGTGTGTGTGTGTGTGTGTGTGAGACTGTGTGTGACTGTCTGCTTGTGTGTGACTCCAATTGTGTGTCACTGTAGCTGTGCCATTGTGTGTGCCTGTATGTGTGCCTATCAGCGTGAGTTTCTGCATACCTGTAACTGAGTGTGTATGACTGTCTGCTTATAAAGGAGTGTGTGTGACTGTTTCTTTGTGACTGTGTGTGTGACTGTCTGCCTGTAGCTGTGTGTGTGACTGTGTGCCTGTAAATGTTTGTGATTGTGTGCCTGTAACTGTGTGTGACTGTCTGCCTTTTACTGTGTATTTGGCTCTGTGACTGTCTGCCTGTAACTGTGTTTGACTGTCTGCCTGTAACTGAGTGTGTCTGACTGTCTGCTTGTAACTGTT